TGTAGTGACCATCTTTGTCTCTCTTAATTAGTTTTGGTTTGAAATCTACTTTGTCTGCAAATAAGATTGCCACCCCTACTTTTTTCTGGGTTCCTGTGGGTTCTTTTCTGGGTTCTTGTACTTAACTGAAAAAAGATGTGTCCATTTGCCAAGCTCTCTGGCATCACTGTGATCACTTGTGAAGTGCTAACCATGCCCAGGTCAAAGAGTGATTGGGAGCACCCTGAGATGTTGTGTTTCAAAACTCTCTGTACATCCATGATGCCAACCATGTAGGACTGCCCCAGAGGGAAGCCAGTCTCTTCCCTTTCTGTGTCCTGACCCCCATTTTCCAAATCCTGCTTCCCAAATGAGGTGAGTATCTGATGACTGATCCCAGGCTCCAGAGACATCAGTCTTCCCATTGACCTGGCCCTGTGTGAGGGACAAAGCATTTTTGTTGACTTACTTTTCTTAAATATCCTGTGAAGCAAACGTTATAATGCCAGTTTCACAAAAAGGGGAATTAAAGGACTCACCCAAGCTCACAGTGAAGATGAGCACCCCCATCTTCAGACCCTTGTGCATGTGGCTATTTGAGTTATACCATGGCATCTCCAAAAGTTTGAGAAAAGGAAACAGGCATCCCAGTAGTCATTTTTAGCTTGCTCCTAAAATCCAGCTAAATTAACTAGGAACGTTTTACACAGGAAAGTAAAGATCTATATTGGGATCGTGATAGACTGCATTACAGGCTCAAATTCTTCTCTCTGCCTCCACACTTTTGACAAGTGGCTCTGAAGTTCCTCTCAAGAGAGTAACAGAATATATTGTCCACCTTCAACTCTGAGACATATTATGGCCAACAGCATGAGCCAGAAGTGGCAGTGTGGTGATGCTGAGAGTAGAGATCAGGAGCTACACATGCTGCCAATGGCTCCCTGATGCCTGCACGGGCACCATGAGAAGCACAGGCCTGAGCTGCTCAGATGGCCCCAGGAAGAGCAGGAGAGACGAGCAGAGCAGACCTCCCCTGCTAAGAATCCCAGCCACAGCTAATGTAGAGCAGAGCCCCCACCAACCTGCATCAAAAAAGCCCTAGCAATTAAACTGTTGCAAGCTTCCTGTGGGGCGGTGAGCTCCCCATCACTGTAAGGATTGGGACAAGAGTCCTGCCTCCTCCATCAGGGAATCCCTAGCCCGGGTAATAAGTTAGAGCCTGTTGTTAAAAGTTATTAAAAATAAAAGTCTTAGGAGCCAACATAAGGCTGCCAACATTTTCTTTTTCTAAACAAAGACAATATATAAAAATAATCACTATTTACCACCACCATCATCTTATAAAAGATGAGACATTTTAACACTAAAACTAAGGCTATAATCTTAAAACACAGCATGGTCCTTTCCAAGCAGAGACACTTGGCTGTCCTCCAGACATGAGCCTTTCCCTCTCATTCTGTCACACAGCAATGAAAACTTGGTCATGTGATAGTTCCATTTAGTGTATTAGCAACTTTCTTGCATGCTTTATGGTAGAACTGTCAGGAGAACGTGCAATCAGTTACATAAATCATGAGTCTCAAATCTTGGTTCTGTTTGTTCTATGACAACATAAAAGTTACCTTTTCCCCATCAAGGTAGAAAACAAAACTAAAGATAAATTCGAGCACTGCCATTGGGCCTTCTCTGTTGGCTGCCACAAGCACCTGTGAGCCTGCAGCATAGCTGCCAACCCCCACCCCACAGGACATTTGAGCTGCACCCTGTGCCATGCTGTGCCTCCACAATGGTGATACTGGATGAAGGGGAAGGTGATGATTCAAATGGAAACTCCAGCAGGGGTATAGGGGCCCAATGACACCCTTGTACAAAATCCTCTCACCATAAGGAGCCTCACCAGCCTCCTGTAGGATGTGTAGAGGCCCTGGAGAAGGAATAGGTCTAACATAAATGGTGACTGTAACAGATTCTCCTGTCATTTAAAACTACCCAGTACATCACAGGCAGCAGCCTGGCTCTGGCTGGGGAAATGTGTGCAACTGTGCAGAAGTTTCAGGCCACTGTGTGGCTTGCCAAGTCTTTCTTTTCTCTCTTCCATGAGGCCCTCAGAGTTTCCAAGGGAGGCAGCTCCCTGGTCTGAGTCCCTCATTCAGTTCTTCAGCCAATACCTAGTGGGCATGAAACATGGGTGAGAAGTGAATGTGGCTGGAGTCATTAATATTTTTTTTGGTACAGGGGCTCAAACAGAGTCATTAACTTTTTGACTGCATATGTTACAAAGGTAAAAACAAAGCCTACTGTAGGCACTGTGACCTGCCCAGTGGGGATTCTATTCGTGAAGTTGGGAGCTCAACAGTGACAACAGATGGAGACAGTGACCTTCTGCACCTTCTGCCTTGGATGTCCTTCTGCACCTGGCCATGGCAGAGTAAGAGGTGGGCACAAAGGTGCTTAAGATGGCAAGCCTTGGCCCCATTGAGCACATGGCCAACTGGAGAGGCAAAGCTGATCCCCTCCAGTGTGATTCTGGTTTTCAGATCATTCCCAGCCCCTGATGGGACTCACACACCTGGATCTATTCCCAACGCTGAACCTTTCGCTCCACCTTCTACCCTTCCTCCCATAGATACTTGGGGACACTCACAAGGTCCCCAGCCTCAGGAGCTTACACTCAGGTAAGAGAACAGACAAGAAGCAAGGAGATGAACACCACTAGGGTGAGCTCTCTCAAACAGAGTGAATTGAGAGAAATTGAGGAAAACTGCTGTAGATGGGAGTTCAGGAAAGGCCTCATGGAAGAGAGGCTAATTCTGATGAAAATGAGAATGTGTCCGCCAGGCAAAGAACTGGGGAAAGAGCAAAAGTAAGCAGAGCAACACCAAGGAGAAAGGGCCTGAGATGATAAAAGGAAGGATCATTTGAAGAATGGAAAAGGCCAGCATGCTGAGGGCAAGATGGGCAAGGAGCACGTTCTGGCACGAGCTTGGGGTAGAGAATAGGACCAGTCCCCTGGGGTGTTTAGAGTTCACTGCAGGTACAGGGGGAAGTAGAAGTCCTGAGCAGTGGAGTGATGGGATCTGGTTATATGTGAAAGAATCTCGGGGTGGTGTGTGGAGGATGAACTGTAGAGGGGCCAGGGTGAAAGGCCCAGACCAATGAGGACTCTCCTGCAGCCTGGACTGGTGGTTCTGCCGCTTCCGTGACCTTCAGCCATCCCTTACAGTGCTGTGCCTCTGTGTCCCATCTGCAGAGTGGGCCTGCTGCCTGTACTTCCTGGTGGACAAGCTGTCCAGGCTCAAGGACTGAAGAGAATGAGGATGTAGATGCACTTGCTCACCCCCGCATGACTTCCTCTCAGTGCCACAGCTGCCTGTCTTGGAGCCAGACCATGCCCAGAGCTTAGCCTAGAGGGCACCTCTCCCAGTTGCCTGTTGGCCCTCAAGATACCAGAATCAGGGGACTACAACAGGCCAGAGGGGAGGCTGGTCAAGCTCCCAGGAGCAGGCAGAGGGGAAGCAGAAACAGGTGAGGGTCAACTGGATAATCACCATGGCAGGTGAGATCAGTTCTACCAGGGGTATCCCTAGGCAGATCTGAGCTGGTTAGAGAGAGGCTCAGGGAGCAAAGCACACGTGCAGCTTCTGCAGAGAACCCTGAGGCTGCTGGAGGATGAATGAGCACATGGAGTAAAGAGGAGATGTCCCAGCTGAGATTATTCTGGATCAGCCAGTACCGAACTGACCTGCCAGCTGTCCAGTGACAGCTCAGCCAAGATCATCTGAGCCTATGCCATGCTAGAATAATGTCCCAATTGACTCAAAAATTCATGAATACATAATAAGCTACTCCTCTAAGCTACTGAGTTTGGAGGTGATTTGTCATGCAGCATTAGCTAGCCAATACAGAGGGGACTGACGGCCAGTAGCAAGTCCCATTTCCCTGCAGCAAGTATGGGATGAAGTGACAGTCTTGTTTCCCTGCCTGAGGTCACTGCATATTCAGATCACTGGACTGGGGTCTTGACCCTTGAGATGCATTCTTGAACTTGACTTTACAAGTCTCCTGTTACCTTATTAAAACTTCCTCCCCTCTTTAAGCATCAGTTTCCTATCTGTAATGAAGGGACTGGAAGACTTCCATGGAGCCTCCTATCTCAACGCTGTTTAGATGACTGTGACCTCTTTATCCAGCCATCTGTCGTGTAATCAGCAAGGATTTGTTCAGAGCCTGGAGTGTGCCGGGCTACAGCCAGGACCCAGGAGCGCAGGCTCAGACACCAAGATGTGGGGCTGCCCACCAGCACCTCCTGGCCCACAGAGAGTTCGCAGTCCTATGAATACAGGGAAGATGCCTCAGAGGAGACCTGGTGGCCAAGTCATCATGTGTTGTCAGCAGCAGACACAATTCCTGTTCCCCCCCTTCCCAGCAGACAGTGAGCCAAGAGTCCCCCAAGCTCCAGGAGCCCTGCTGGAATTGCAGGGAGCAGAACAGATGCAGTTGGAGCCTGAAATCCTATCCCCTGATTACAACTGTCCTCTAACACCTCCTTGTCCACAGAGGGAGGCAGATATACAGACAGCGTCTGCCTCAGGGCCCACATAGAGGTCCTACCATGGAACCAGGGAGCGATAGATTTGGTGTTCCTCTCGAAGCCAGCTCGGCGAGGCAGCTGCTCCTCCTTAAACCAGCGGACGATGATTTCTCTGGAGACTGGACGCAATGGTCGCTCCCAGGTCCTGCTAAGAAGAGAGGCAGGTGGGAGAGTTAGGGCAGAGTGCAGGAGGAGAGAGGAGGGAAAAGGAATAGAGAGAGAGAGAAGGGAGCCCCTGAGAATGAGTAAGCACAGTGCCTCATTCAGGCCTCTGAAGGGGATTCACTGAGCGTGGGTACTTAAAGGCACTTTGCAAATTATAATGCAGCAAGTACGATTATTTGTCCAAAATGCAGTTATCACTTGCTTCAAAGAAAAATACACAAGTGTAAGTGGAAAGAAGACAGAAGGAGATGTCTACAGTGGGAAAGGGTATATTTTTCCTGAGGATGGCCAGTGCAAAAAGATCAGCATGGATGAAGACGGGTCCTCAGGAGACAGGAGCAAATTCATTAAGGTGTGAGTGTCCCCTACCCCCACTAAGGAGAGTCCTGGTTTGGGGTCCCCTGCCCCACACTCTGTAAGGACCCCTGCCTTTGCCAGCCAGCCAGGCTTTTGTGAGGCACAATCAGGACAGTGAACAGAAAGGGAAACCACAGAACCTTGATTTGCTCCGGAGACAGCTGAGATTCCCCTCCCAGAAAATAAAAAGATAAGTACTAGTGTGCTCAGAGTGCTGCAATGTAGATCACTATGGCCAGGCCTGACTCACCTCCTCCCATGGATGAGGCAGGGCCCCGCAGGAGGAGAACCGGCCACAAGAGGGTGTGGTGGAGCAAGGCCTGGCCCAGAAGAGGACTGTCTTCCTCCCTGCCCCTTCCTCAGAAAACCATCAAACATGATGTCCTGCAGACCTTAGCTACTCTCCTGGCTCCAGTTACAGACCAGCCCCTTTTACCTCCCATTGTACTTCCCTTATCTCTACCACTATAAATAAGCACACAGCCATTTGCCTGGGGTCTTTAGAGCCCCACCTGGCCCCGCCTATACCCATATCTCTTTGTCTTTCTTAATCTCCCACCTTCATTTCTCAGTGAACCCTTTAGCCATGTGGGTCCTGTCACTGGGGAAAGGGAGAAGGAAAGGAACACAACTGTCCACCGGATGACCCTGGCCCAGGGACCCAGTGAGGCACCTAAGAGGGATGAGCAGGAGCAAGTGAGGGATCTCAGGGGGGCAAACTGGACACCTTTAATGTCATCTCACAGGGAGCCAAGATTTCCACTGCTTCGTGTATGAACTGAGGTTCTTGGCTGCACAGAGACCAAGCCACATAGGATTGCGTTACATTCAGGCTGCACAGTGAGTCTGACAGCATGTGACACAAGGCACACACCCAACAAGTTTTGAATCACCTGGCAGCAAGGCCATGGTGCCTTAAATTACAGTGTGGAAATGCAGTGTCCAAAGAAGACTTTGGCCCACCTGGAGCAAAACTGCCCTCTTCACTGCTTCTAAAAGAGTGATAGGAATCTTGTTTTGACTTTGCTATTTCCCTAATAGGATTAGCACTTGGGGGCACCCCTGTCCTCACCATTTTTTATAAAATAAACTATATTTGCTCTATACCAACACTTTAACACTGAAGAGCTCAGTAACTCTTTACAATGGATCCACTTACACACACATATGTGTTAGCACAACACACACAGACACACAGGACTGAACACTATAGATTCTAGGAAAGATGCTAGAAGAAAAACAGAGGACACACACCTTAAAGCCACAGTCAGTTTTCTGTTACTATAACAAAACACCCAAGGCAGGCTGCATATGAAGAAAAGAGGTTTATTTAGCTCACAGTTTGGGAGGCTGAAAGTCTAAGATCTGGAGGGCCCGATGTGATGGCATCATTGGTGGGAGTGTGTGCGAGAGGAAGAGGTCACATCACAAAGCAGAAAACAATACCGGGGTCAGGATCAGCCTTTGTGAACCTGGCTCTCCGGAGAACTCTCCCAGCTCTTTGCATGAACTATCTTAACCTACTCCCCAGGCACACCTGCCCCATAGTGTAAGCACCTCCACAGGGCACCACTTAAGCACTGGCACAGTAGGAACCACGAAGGACAGACACACGAAGATGCACACATCCGACCACAGCAGTGCCCAGCAGGAATGTGGTCTCCTGACTTGGCCTCCCTGCCCCCGCTCCAGGCTCGGCTTCACCCACCCACCAGGACCCCGCAGCCAGGTCTGCTCTCTCCTCTGTCCTCGCTTGGGAACTTCCCCTTCCCTCTCAGGGCCCCAGACACCCTCACCCTACTGAGCAGCATCCCTGCTCCACCCAGCCTCTTCTTCCACATTTGCATCCCCCAAAACCAACTGCACCATGAGGAAAGATCCTTGTAGCTTCCAGGCCTCCAGCTTCTTAGAAGGCAATAGCAGGTTATAAACAACAGCAAAGAAAACCTACCCATGCTGGTCCCTCAGCTCCAAGCACTGAATGTGAATGTGTTTCCAAGCAGAAACTTTGATCCCTCAGAATACAAACACTGGGATGGCTACTCCTGGCTAGAAGCCCCACTACTGCACCAAGGATGCTCCTCCCTTCAGCAGTGAGTGTCCACCTCTGGGCAAGGCTGGCACCATGGAGCTGAAGACAGAGAGACCACAGGGACCTCTGCTATGGCAGAGCAAGGAGGTAGAAGGTGCTTCCATCTGTGCCAGCATTGTTCCTCCACCTGCCTGGCCCCTTGACTTCTCCAGGCTCAAGGCAGAGGCCACCCCTCTCCTCCTGACCATGCACAGCCAGGCTGCACCATGGTCCCTACAGCTTCACCACATGGACCCAAGAGACAAATTATAGGTTTCTGTTCAAAAGCATGGAAGGGAGGAGGGCTTTTCTAACTGTGCCTGCTATGGCTTAGATCTAAAATGTCCCCCCAACATCTCATGAGTTTGGAAGGTGATTGGATCATGGGGGCGCTATATTTATCCCTGGATTCATCCACTGATCAGTTCAGTTGTTTACGCGCTGTTAGGCGGTGGGGCCTGGTTGGAAGAAGTGGGTCACTGGGAAGTCAGCTGAAAGGATGTATTCTCGTCCTCTGCTCTTCCCTTCTTCCTCTTGCTCTCTGCTTCCTGACTGCCAGCAGACGAGCAGCTTTGCTCCACTGGCTCTTCCACCATGCTATTTCTGCCTTGGAGCAAGACAACTATGGACTGAAAGCCCAAAACTGTGGGCCAAACAAAAACCCTTCCCCTCTAAATTGTGGGTGCCAGGTGTTTTGTCCCAGTGATGGGAAAGCTGACTAATACACTAACTATGCCCTCCAAAACAGAAGACATTTCTTAAATAATAACATCATAAAAACTCAAGCATTTTGGCATGCCGGAGAATTCCATCACAAAGGTCAAAATACAAATGACAAATGGAGAAAAAAATGTTCACCACAAACAAAAAATCCTTTTCCCTAATATGTAAGGCATTCCTAGAAATGGTTAAGGAAAAAACCACTCACGCCATGTAAAAATGGATAGGGAAAGAGGTAAACAAATTCCAGTGACCCTTAAGTATTTAGTCTCATAAATAAAAGCACAAGTTTAAACTTGCTCTGAGGTGTTACTTCTCACTCAGAACCATAGTTTGACAACACAGTGTTGGCCAGTCCAAAGGATAGTGGTGTGAATTGGTACCAGCTCTGTGGAGGGCAAGTAGTGATCTCACTTGGGGGAATTTCTCTTGCCATGTATATATGATTAATTTCTACAAGGTAATTCATTCAGAGCATTGTCGGTGATAACTAAAGTTGTGCAACACCACCAATGTCCACTAACAGAGCATTTAAGAAATAACTTATAGCACACTTCTGCAGTAGACCACCAGGCAGCTGTAACAAAAGAGGGAGGGGGCAACACTGTTCACGTTGGCAATTTTGGAAGATACTGAGAGGACACATGAACAAGAGCCATCACCACCCAGAGGGAGAGGGACTCGAGGAGGAGGAACACAGGGAGAGGGCTCTGAGTGCATGCACCTCCTTCCTGGTCGGAGAATCACACATGCCAAGAAAGGAAGGGACAGAAGAGAGAAGGCAGGAAGAAATGAAGACATGGTCAGCACTCCCTAGACACGGAGGAAGGGATAGGGGATTAGGAGCAACTCCAGTCCTTAATTAAAGCACAACGCTGACACCTCCACTGACACCTCCATTTCCTGGAGTGAACTGAGTCCCCAGATAATTTCCTAGGCTCTCCCCAGGGAGAGTGGTTGCTTAGCAATGGTGAGAAGGCTGGGAGCAGAGGTAGCAATATCTAGGGTGCCCATAGGTGGGGACAGATGGACCTGGAAAGGCTTCCAGTGGTCTCCTGACCATCAGTCCTCGAAATCATGGGCTGTCACCTAAATGTTCTTGCCAAACAAACCTCTGGGGACAAAAACTGTGTGAAAGCCCCTGCCATCACCCACACTGATCTGCAGACCTCTATTCACACAGTGACAAACCAACACCAGCCATAGTTAGAAGAGGCCAAGTTCCCATTTCCATGCTACTGGGTCCCATTTAACTCACTTGAGGTCCTCTATTATGTGTTCTTAATCTAGGGCCCAGGGACCTTTACGAATAAAAAACTGTATGCACACATTTTGGAGTATTTATATATGCACATTTTGAGGGGGTACACAGCATTCCTCAGATTATCAAGGGAATCCTGGACCCCAAAGAGGTTAAGACTCACAGAATTTCAAAGTTGTTGGAAATGTGCAAACCTCCGTACTCTATGCCTATGCAAAAGGGCCACAACAAATCCCAGCATTGTGTGCAATTATTTTACATTAATACAAAGAGTTAAAATGAAAGAGGAAAATATAAACATTACAGTGATAAAATACTGTACGTCCCTTAAGTTTAACAATTTAAATATGGAAAGAAAAGCGCAAGCCCCACCGCCTTCCACTCCCCCCATCACCCCGTCATACATCCTGGGACACTGAGGCCGCAGGGGAAAATGACTAGCGAGTCAGGGCTGGAACCTTATTCTGCCCGCCCCAATTCAAGGGTATTCCAGGGCCCCAGACTCACCCAACAGGCGCAGCGAGGGGCAGGGGTGGGCCGGGGCCAGGCAGATGGTGGTAGAGTCTCGCCTCCTGCTCTTGGTTCTGGCCAAGCTCCTGAAACATGGAGCTGAGCCCAGCCACGGTGCCCTTCTGGATGGCGCGGAATGAATGTCGCTGATATTCGTCCCGGGCACGCTGAGCTCGCCGGCTCCGCTCCTCGTCAGCCGCCTTGATCCTGCACACTGCAAAGGGAGAGACACACTGCTGGCCTTGACCCGAAGCCCAAAGTGCGCTCTGCACAAACCTGGTTAGGGTGAGATTCAGGGGCACTCACCAGGAGCCCCAGTACTCACCCGTGTGGGTTCCACGGAGGCTTGGGGCCTCCAGACAGAGGTGCTGTGGGCAAACCTTTTGGTAACTGTCACTGCATAGCTCACAAGACTCCAGGACACGCTTCTCTCAGGCCTTCCTCCTTTCTGTGTTTCTAAAGGCAGAGCACTGTCACAAACAAGTGGCCTTAAAACGTGTGTGTGTGCGTGCATGTGTGCATGTGTGTGTTGGGTTGCTGGTGCTTCTGAAACTCAAAAGAGAAGTCTCAAAGTGAGAAAAGGGAAGAGAAGGAACCAGACCTATTGTAGTCCAAGTCCTCCATTAAAACCAGCTCTTCATCAGTGTCTGGCCAGGCCCCTGCCTCCCTCTAAAATCCAAATTCTTTTCAGAGAGCTCATGCAGCTCGCCCTAGCCCTGCAGCTCACCTTCCCCTCCAGGGTGAGATCTTCCCAGAAGCAGTTTGTCCTTGGCTCCATCCAACACTGCCCCAGTGCACTTCCTGTTAGCCCTTGGAGGACATGGGGAGTCGCCCTGGTGCTGAAAGACAGCACTGTCCTCCACAGGGGTGGAGAACCTCCTCCCTGACCAGGACATCTCTGCATCTGAGCATGCCTCTGTCCTAATAAGGCATTTGGGGGCTGTCACAGGTCCAGAGCATCAGGCAGGCTGTGAGTTCCACCAAGCAAGTGAAGAAGTATCTCCAGTCTGCTCACTGCAGGATTCCAGGGCTAGAACAGGCCCTCAGGCAATGCGCATTTCTGGATGACTGAATGCACCCAATTAAATATTTAGCTCTGCTCTTGCCCCTAAACTGGATAGAGAAATGACAAAGGAACTCAAACTGGGGAAATAAAACAAATAAATACCTCTACCTGAGTGAAGAAAGCAATGGGCATCATTTTTTAAAAGGACCAAAAGCCAAACATGGTTGCACAGGCCTGTCATCCCAGCAGCTCTCTGAGAGGTTGAAGTAGGAGGATCACAAGTTGGAGCCCAGCCTGGGCAACTTAGTGACCTAGAGAAAACTTGTTTCAAAATAACAAACAAACAAAAAAAATAAGAGCTGGATATGTTGCTCAGTGCAAAGGCCATGGGTTCAATTCCCAGTACCTCAAAACTAAAAAGGGACTAATACAGTCTTGTCAGAGTTAGTCAGCTGCTCTCACTGTGTAGGGAGCTGAAGCCATAGTTCTCTCTGTGCCCTGGAGTGCTGTGGTTTGTTCCCACCAAAGTGCATGCTAAAATGTGGGTTACCAGTGTACCAGCATTGGAAAGTGGGCCTTTCAGAGGGACAAACATTGTGTGACCAGGTTAGTTTTCATGGGAAGAGATTAACTCTTGGAGAGCAGGTGGCTAAAAGCAGGTCAGCTCCTTTGTCCCCTCCCAGTCTCTCTTATTCTTCCAGCCGGTGAGACAAAAATAAACCTCTTTCCTTTCAAAATTCCCCAGGGCCAGATGTTCTACTATAGCAACAGAAAATGAAGTAAAACAGTCTGGAAAGATCGAAAGGCATTTTCCAGAGAAAAGAGGAGGAGGAAGCCATTCCAGGGAGGAAACTTGGTCTCAGGGACCCCCCAGGCCCATCCATAGGTTGGGTTGCAGACCTGAAGAACATCAGGAAACCTCCTGGCACTATGGTGCAGGGTCTGACCCGGTCAATGCCCCAGGACAAGCTTTGTGGTTACTACACTGCAAACCAAGCCCAGAGCTCATGTCCTACAGGCACTGTTGGCTTTGGGGAGTTTACAGCTCTGGGGAGACAGGGACACACAGGTAGGTTTTGCTGCTGGCTCACTGTCTGGCCTGGACAACTTTTCATCTCTTTGAGTCTTAGTTTTCCCTCCCTGAAAAATGAGACATCTTCACCCAAGGGCTGCCACACAGCCAGATTATTCAGGAATCACATCCTCCTCTATGCTCAAGCACCTGTTCAGTCCTCTGACCCAGAAGGGGGGGCGACAGTGGTGAGTTTCTCCCAGCAGAATTCCTGTGAGCAGCCCCACTGCTCCTGAATCACCACCAGGCTGGTTGTTGCAAGGCGACAGTGTTTTTTCCACTTTAACGCTTTGGGGCAAGGTGTGTGTGCTTATTCAGCATTCATGTGTTTCATGCCTACTGGGGCCACCACTTACACAACTCCCAGGGTGCATCAGCCCATGGTCACACAGCTGAGTCAGATTGTCTTCACCGTTTTCTGACAGGTGGCAGGCAGTATAGGGTCTTGAGGAGGGGTTCCTATTTTCCTTGTGTCAGTTGGTGGCAGGGCTGGGGCTAGAGGACGTGGCTACAGCACTGTCCTGCCCTCTGAGAGCCTGCACTCCAGGAGGAGAAGCCCCTCTGTAAGCAGTGGGTAGAGCAGTGGCAAGGAGTGCACAGGGTGCTGAGGGCCCCAGAGAAGGGACACCCCCTCCGGACAGGGACACCCTCTGCAGGAGCCTGGTGGACACACGAGATTCAACCAAGAAAGCAGAGGGCGTTCTCAGCACAAAAGGCTCAGACACAAAGGCCGGGAGGCCAAGAGGAGCTGTGTGTCCCTCCTGGACTAGGTCAGTGTAGCCTGAGGGACACATGCAGGAAGGAGGGCAGGAGCTGAGGCCTGAAAAACAGAAGAGGCCATCTAGGAGAGCAATGAATACAGGCTAATGACTCCTAATGCTTCACCAAAAGGGGACGGGAAGCCCTTGCATGGTTTCAAACAGAAGAGCAGGATGCTATTTGCACCTTTAAAAGATTGAGCTACCATGTTGGGAATGTACTGGAGAGGAACAAGAAAGGAGACTTAGAAAACAGAAATACAGTGAGCAATGGGGATCTAAGCTAAGACAATGTGGGGAAAGTGGTGATGGCTGAATGAATGGCCAGGGCAATCGAGACATAAATTCAGAGACATATAGGAGGTGGAAACTGTCCGTGGGTAAATTTTTAGAAGGGAGAATCCAGAAAACCACCATGTTTCTGCCTTTGACAGCAGTGACAAGGCAGGTAGAGGAGAGGAGGGCTGAGTTCTAAAGGCAGGGAGGATAGGTGCATGTGGGGCCCAGGAGGAAGGTCCAGGGGGCCTTCACTCTTCAGGATGCCAGCTGCTGCCCCTCAAGGCCCCTCTCTAATGAAGCTGTCTGTGCTCCCTGCCTCACCCGGGGAGAAGTCAGAGGGCCAGGTGCACCCTGCAGGGCACCTGAGCAACTCCAGTGTGTGGGGAAGCAGGATGTGGATGAATATCACTGAATATTCCCATAGGGCAGGGAAAGGCTTCACTCAGATCCCAGCTGTACGGGGGTGGACGTGCTTCAATTTGTCCTCAGATACCTTAGGGAGATGTGGAGGAGGAGTCCAGAGGAAGGGTGTGCCCAGGGCCTGGCTGGCACACAGTAGAAGTCCCAGAAACCTTGCCGGATGTGCCTGGCAGGCAGTGAGAAGGGCCCCATCCCGGAACCCTGCTCCAGGAGGAGTCACTCCCAGGTGGGGTGGAGAGAGGATGAGCACGGGACTGGGTGGGGCTAAGGGAATGGGAACCCGAAAACCTGTGGGAAGGGGAGCCCTCCTGGCCCCTGAAGACAGGAAACACGCAGCCCCCTGCTGAGCCCAGGTCACTGAGGAATGAGGAGGTTTGACACTACAGATAGTGAGCCCTGAGAGACCAACTTCCGGGAAAGCAAGCAAGTTCACCTGCGCGCCTGGAATCCAAGCACTCTGGGAGGCTGAGGCAGGTGGATCACAAATTCCACCCCAGTCTGGGCAACTTAGCAATTTAACAAGATCCTGTCCCAAAATGTAAAGAATTAAAAAGGGGTTGGAAATGTGGCTCAGTGAGAAGACCCATTTCTGATTTAAAAATAAAAATCAAAGCAAGAGATTTGTCCCAGCCAGGCCTAGGGAAGGGCGCCCAGCCCCCAACTCTAGGCCTCTGCCGCCTGTCCTTGTTCTGCTCGCCCAGCAGATGGCTGCCGACAGTGACCTCCTGTGGCTGCCAGGCGCAACTGCGGGATCCCCTTAGGACCAGAGCGCTCCTCGCCGGTGGAAGCCGCAGGCTTCGGAAAAGTAACGTGAACGTATTCTCCAGGAATTCGGGAGGAGAGAGAACCCGAAAACTAGCACACAGGTGCTGGGGCTAGCACCATTTTGAGTTGTAATCCCAAAAACGTGGTACTCAGAGTTTAGGGTGCATTTCCAACTAGATGGTCCCTGATTTATGACTCAATTTAGGATTTTTGACTTTACAGTTGTGAAAGCGATAGGAGCTCAATAGAAATCGTACTTCAAATCTTGAATTTGGATCGTTTTCGAAGCTAGCGGTGTGCAGTCAGAGCCCGCCTTGGGGTGCTGGGCGAGGCCGCACCCCCGCGTCACGTGACCTTGAGGTGGAGCCCGGGGAGCTGCCGCAGCCTATTCTCCGGCTACCCTATCTGCAATTCATGGCGGGTTTATGGGACGCAATCTCAGTCTAAGTCAAGGAGCATCTTTAGTTATGTCTAAAGGGAAGCTGTGTCGTATCCCACCCATCAGTACTATATAGAAAAAGCCCGCCTTTTGCGTTGTCCTTTCGCTTTCTTTGTAGCCCCAGATTCTGCTCTTCCCTACCCCACTTCCAAGCCAGTATCCTCACAAATGCCTCGGATTCAGCCTGTCCGGAGCCTCTATAGCATTTTAGGATCATTGATGCTCTCTCCAGAATCCCAACGAAGGGGATGGAACCAAAGTCCCGGACCCTTTCCAACTGATCTCACTCAGCCCTGTCCACAGCCTGGCAGGGAGGGAGACAGCAGCATGCAGGTTCCAGGCTCGAGGCCACTACCCAGATCACAAGGGGTTAGAGGCAAGTCCAAGTCCCACGGATGGCTCCAAAACCCTTTTTACCTTTCTAAACCCAACAATAATAATAAACGTCCAGTTTTTAAAAATCATATCCTTTGCC